TCGATGATGAGCGTCGAGAACGCGCCGTTGCCGGCAGTCAGGCTGTCGCCCATGGCGCCCACCACCCTGATGTCCCCCGGCCGGAGCCGGTGAACGGAGGTAGGGGGCTCGTACGGCTGGGAGTAGCCGGCCGGACAGTCCAGACGCTGCTTCAGGGGCTTCTGGCTCTTGGGGCCGGGACTGAAGAACAGGCTGCCCGAGCTGGATATCAGCTGTGGAGAGAGGATAATAGTTAGACGGCTTCAGTTGAGTCAGTGGATTTTAGATCGGTAAGCTAGATGAGTAGATTCGATACTGCCACATGTCTCCTTTCTTGAGCCTGAGTCCCACAGTTCACTGGCCTTACGGCCACGTGCCAGCAGATAGCTACCCCTCGGAAGCACATTCAGGGCTATTATTAGCATGAACGGGTGTACATACACTTACAGGATAGCACTCCGATGTAATCTTTTAACCCTAGAACGCCTAGGGGGGGGGTTGTATCAACCCCCCCCCCCTGAGGTTTTTTCAAAGTGCACGCTAAACGGCTTGTCGTAGCGGGCTGAAATTTTCAATACCCTCTGGGGCAACCTTTGCGCATCTTTTGCCGAAAAAAATTGATCGGGTCATGTCAGGTCACGGAGTTATGACGTCATAAGAGGTACAGCCTCCGGCCGACAGTTACCAAACGTGTGCGCCGAATCCCTAGGTTTTCTGCCGGTGATACCCACATTGTTTGATGGATCATGATGAAACTTCCCATGCATGTTGGGGCAAGCATTGGCTATCGTGTGGTGCAAGAAAATTGACCGGGTCAGGTCAGGTCACGGAGTTATGATGTTATAAGAGGAACAGCGTCCGGTACTATTTTTGAAAAGCGCCCGAACCACTATTTTGCTAATTCTTGTCACCTCAATGGGAATATGCAGCAATATTAGCTTCTATAAGGAGCAAATGGACCTTCCAAATCAAAAAATACAATCAGATTTCAAAAATTTAAATTTTGATTTTTCGAATTTCTGCCGCCGACTGTGACCTTGCCGACTTCCGGCGCTCCCAACGCGCCATTTTTAGAGCTAGGGAAACGAAATACATACCAAACGATAGAGAATTGATCAAGAAACACGATAGTGAAGGTTTCAAGTCGATATCTCCCACCGTGTTGCCGCAATCGCCGTGGAAAGTTGAAAAAAGTCTATTTTTCCGAAAATTTGACCTTTGACCGGTCAAAAGTAGGTCAAATGTTGACCTAGGACCAAAAAATATACCACCAATCGCGAGATCTCGTTGAGAGCAATCCGTTGGTTTTTTCCGCTAAGCTCTACGACCTTCCGTTTCGAAACGCCAGGGGGGGTCGTAACAACCCCCCCCCCCCTGGTCGTTCGTGTTATGAGAAATGGCCTGGTCGTGCGAGGGTTAAAGCGCGCACTTGTCCGCAAAGATAAAGCTAGCCAGCGCTCTATTTTTAGACCACTGGTTTTCGGAATACAGGAGCAAGGTACGAAGAAGTGGGGGACGTTTGGGCAGATTCATCACAGTATTATCAGTCTGTGAAATCTACTTAGCAGGAAAAGTTATTACAAGATCATAGTGAACATAATCCATATGCTACAGATCAAACCGATTTGCAAAACTCGTAAACAGTTAACGCTCAATGATGATAGTGATCTCTTTTGATCTTCGATTCAGTATGTTGGCCTTTTCTGTGAGCAATGCGCGAAGTGCTTCCCAGACTCTTCCCAGAATTTTCAGCTTACTTACTCTGTTCTCTCTCTCTCTTTCTCTCTCTCTCTCTCTCTCTCTCTCTCTCTCTCTCTCTCTCTCTCTCTCTCTCTCTCTCTCTCTCTCTCTCTCTCTCTCTCTCTCTCTCTCTCTCTCTTTTATTTGATTTTTTTATTATTGATAAATTATGATTTAAGTGCGTAGCACTTTTGCGCCAATTGCCTACTTGATTTGTTATATTCATCTGTTTTTTTTTTTAATTGAATAAATGGTCTCTCTCTCTCCTCTCTCTTTCCTCCCCCTCTGTCCCTCTCACTCTCTACTTTGCTGCAGACCTGCCTTCCGAATCGACTCTATGACGCTGTCTATGGGAGGTGCGTGGCTGAGCGAAGCAGTCCGGTTTGTGGTGTCTTGCCAGCGCGCCGTGTCAGGTCGACCGTACACTGCAATGGTTCTGGTGTGACCGGTTCAGTCCAGACAACCGTCCGTTCCGCTGCTGGGGGCTCACCCCGTCACCGTCACTATTACCCCGTCACTATTAACAGTCACCGTGGGCTCACCGATCGGCCCGCGGCGCTGTGCCCCGCCCCCGGAGCGAGGCCTCCGATTGGAATAAGGTTACTTCTCTTTTCTGTTTTCTATAATATAACATTGACAACCAAGTCACACCTATGTCTTGTGTGAAAGTAAAGATGCTTCGCCTTGTGTTTTGTTATCAAATGTCATTCAAGGTATCTAGCTGAGCCATTATGCCTATTACTAAAAACATTACAAATTCATTCAAACGACATACAGATAGGTGTAACAGCTGCATTGAAATAAAACTTAAAAACTGTACAATACATCCCAAGAAAAAGATCAAGATCGGATGGCTAAAGATTTAAACACTTCATTACAATGCCTCTGCTCATCTTCTCGTCACTCCACCGTTGTGTGACCTTGTCAGGAGAGGACAGTCGGGCCGCCCCAGCAGCGATCGCAGCACTCTGAGGTAACAGGGGTACTGGGGCCAGCCGGCGCGAGGGCGCAGCTACCTTGCCCGAGGCCGGCGGCGGCAGCCACGCGGCGCCAGGCGCCGGCCGGCCGGCCAGCCCGAGGCACGGGTGGGCGGGCGGTGCCATAGAACGGGTGGCCGCCGAGACTGGTCGCGCCCCGAGGTTGTGGGATGCGGTGTGGTCAATGTCGCGGAGCTCGGGGGGAGATTCAAAGTGTGCGAGTCAACGACTCGACTTGGTGGAAAAGTGATGATGATGATTTGGAGTGACAGGGCGCACCAGCTGCGAGGCTATATCGCGCCTATTTCTTTGGTAGAAAAGTGCTGCATTAAATTTAGCGCATTGACACATAGAAAGCCTACATAATCACCAAAACAAATGATCAGCGTCAGTGATGCTTACGGTTACGCTAGATAATCGCACCGGCTAATCATCTAGTAATCTTTCATTGCCCCAGCTCAACGCCTTTGTTGCCGGGCCGGACCACAGCAGCGCTCCCACAGAAGCACCCGATGTCCCGGCTCTGAAGTGCCCGGAACCCGTTAGAGTGTTGTGCCGGTCTCCCAGCGCGGGGTGTCGCCATGTCGCCGCCGAGGAGCACCAGTTTAGTGGGAAACGGTACGGGAGTGTTCAATGGAGGCCACATATGGCGGGCCGGCCAGCCAACCGTGGAATCCAAGCGCGATGAGGTGATAAATTAACGACTGCCAGGAACAGTTAAAATAAGTGCTTTAGGGATAATGGTATCGAACAGCGTTGGCCAAATAAAATGTTTTTAACAGTCAACGACTCGTTAGCGGGATTTAGGTGGGAGATTTTAGTACAAAGAACTGTTCGTGCAATGTCGACGTACTTACAGTAATCATTTTCTTGAAATATCTTAAAATTTTGTGATGCCTTTTGTGTACATACATGTGCGAAATCACTATTATAAGGTGGCATTGCTTACTTGGCAAATAGTACAATATCAAAAAAGATACATAAAAAGATAAAACAACGCTAGAACAAAAAATGCTACTTTATAGTTTGAAAAGGGAGCGTGTAATTTTAGGCGGCTTCAAACGGAAGTGAAAACTATTTTTAGAATGCACGGCAGCGACCTGCAATAAATGATAGCATCAGCCGATTCCGGGTACAGCGCAGAATAGAATTAGCAACTAAAAAACGACGCTGGTTAAAAATTTAGCAAAACAGACGTTCCATGAGACAAAGAACAATGCCACTGTGCAGTTGAATCGCTTCGGTATGTTACGTAAGCATCCTGATCTGATTCAGTGCTCGCGCTGTGCTTTGCATCGCCGCATGACGGGGCACTGTCAGCTGACAGCGGCTTTTCTGTCACAGCAAGTGACTGTCACTGTCACTGCCGTCAAAATTTAAAATTTTCAAAAACTGGAATATGTGTTATGGAGCTCTATTAGAACATTAGATGTCCCATATTTCAAATTTCTATCCTGATTTTTGACCCCCAAATTTAAAAGAATAGCTCCAACCTATATAGGGCCTTGTGACATAAGCATTTTCGTGATTTTAAGCCACTTCTGAACATTGTATGTGAAAATAAATGACAGCATTAGATTCCTGGGAAAAGCTCGTCTAAAAAAGTGCATGTTATGTCAAAAATAAAAAATGAAAAATTGACTTGTTTTCTTAGCCCTGACTTGGTATAACCGATTTTGTATGCTTTCAATGCACACTAATGACCAGGACAGTGACTTTGAGTCACATATAACCATGGCCATTGGATTCGGCGTGAACAAATAACCCATTAAACATGTGTCGCATGCCCACGTAGCAGAAAGCAACCTGGCTATCATGACCTTTCGTGACCTGACCTGACCTTGACCCGTGCTTAGTATGACCCCTATATGCACATGGTACCTTCACTAAGTCTTCGAGGTCATTTTTGGTGAGTGCCATCGATCCCGCTGTCCGTAAGCCTCATCATGCAGAAACCCCAGAATTTGACCTTTGACCCGACCTTGACCCGAACGTTGACCTTAATCTTAAAATCTTAAGAGTGCTTTCGGAAGGTCTCGTAGAGACCTTTCAAACGCCGCCTCGCGAGGCTCGATATGACCATTGGTTCTCGAGATAACAGGGAGGGTCGGAACCGACCCCCCCCCCCTCCCAGGCTGTTGGTGGTACGGAAATAGCCCAGGCGGTGCCGGGTTAACACTTACGGCATCCAATTGGCGAAAAACGGAAGGGGCAAATTCTGCTACCCCCCACGGGGCACGGGTTTGTCGAGTTCATTTTTTCATGATAAATATCAAACGAATGAATTGCTCTGAATTTATGTTTTTCTTCCCTTCGAGTTTTCCCACTTAGTGACCACAGTAACGCTTTTTTCTAATTGTGCTGGCTGGGAAAATACTTTTGCAGAGTGGTGGGTGTAGCGTAATTTTCACTTTTTGTTTGCCATTTGATGCTTTCTGACCGCTGCGATCAGATTAGGTGGCCGTGTGGAGGGGAGGGTTCAGAGCGCCGGGCGCTGCGTCACATCCCTGCAACGACCATACCATTCCGATGTGATCATCACGGTCCGCAAAGCCAGCAGATTTTTCCGCTACAGAGATGAGTCGACCTCAGAGGGCCCGGTGGACCCAGAGGGCACAGATCGGCGGCGTCCCTCCAGTCGACAGCACCGTATACCACACTTCAGCCAGCATGGGCGTCCCGGTCCACCCCGTCTGCCTCCTCAGCGCGGCGCTGCTCCTCGTGACAGGTGAGCTGTAGGATGGGTGAGCTTCTGGCACTTGTCATGGGTAAGCACGACTTGTGACCATGACGAGCTTCTGATTCTGGTGATTGGTCCTTGTGACAGATGAGCGTTGTGCATAATTCACTCGGAAGATCGTCAAAAGGTCGTCTTTTCAACGGCATTGGGGGACTAGCGATGTGGGCTAGTCCGAAAAATTATGTGTTGAAAACAACACTACCTAACTCTCGCGACACCCCTAAGGTTTTTTTTTTAATAATTGTAAAAACGGCATTTAGCATACGCTCTTGGGCAGCCTTCTGGCACCTATCCTGAAAATTTCAGGTCTCAGTCTTTTCAGGTCAGGTCACCAGGTCACAAAACCGGTAAAAGGTCAGGGGAAAATTGGAATAGTTTGGCGGCAACTGAATGCCAGAGCTTTTCGTTGATAGCGTGAGTGCAATGGCACGTAGCGCTACCAAATTTCAGCCACAACTTGGGGCATCTATGTATCACATGACCTGGGAGTTTTAAGTTCCGGTGACCTCAAGTCAGGTCACAAGGTCACAAAAACCGGTACATTGTCAAAATGGTACTAAAAATGCACTATTCTGATTTCTGTTCATGCAAACTAGAGTTCTTCATCGATTTGAGTCAAACTTGCAGGATATACTTAGCTTACCAAGTGCCATCATATATGCACTACAGTTTTCAAATCAGGTTGACCTGAGGTCATCTAGCGGCCATAACACATTTTAAGGAAATTTGCCCGAATGGGTCTAAATGTGTACTTGAGAGATTTGTGCTCCATTTCAATGTTTTTGTGTTGTATATACCTTGAGTTATATCTACTCGTACTTGGTGTTTACAAGCTGCAAAAACGCTAGGATCGGGTCAACTGAGTTCAACTAAGGTCAAACTACGTTTTTGCTAATAACTTGGCACACAATAAGGCTAGGGCTTCAAAAATGGTGTCATTGTGTTCCTTGCGACCAGGCGATTCGAATGGCATGCGATAGGATGCACTGATTACTTTGAGTTCACTTAATTTCTAAGAAAATTTTAAGTTAACCTAAATTGGTAAAACGTATATCAATCGATGCACATGGACGTGATGAGTTCACTGGTGCTTTTAGTTTTGCACTTTCTTAACCCGCGCACCGACGGGGGGGCGGATATCCGCCCCCCCTGAGGTTTTTCGCGAATAGCGGGAAAACCGCGGCGCGTAGCGCCGCGAAATTTGGTATGACTATAACCTCATCAATTTTACACATGGTATGTAAGTTTGAACCTCCTACCTTTTAAGGTCAGGTCACCAGGTCACTTTGAATGACCCAACCTCAAGTCACTTTTTTGCAACTTTGTCACCGTGCCAGAGCTACAGTAGATGTCGGAGGCCTTTGAAAGTCGCAGGATATTATTAGGTCATTAGTAGCTACAATTTGTATATCTCGGAATTTTGATATCGGTGACCTAAGGTCAGGTCAATTTCGCGACCTCCCCATTATAAGTCAATGGGGGAAAAATCAACTCCCTGTTTTTACCACTAAAACGGGTCGGAATGGCCCCATATACCATACATGACTTCATATACGATCAACCTTCACTACCTTGAGGTCTGTTTTGCTGTTGGGCAGCTGTGAGGTCATGTGACGTCATCAAAGGTCACCAAAGGTTTTTGGCCAATAACTCCGTACAGGAACAAGATACAGACGCGTGGATGGTCTCATTGTGTTCAGCTCGTCAAGACGCATCGAATGATATACATGATGACCTCGAGGTCACGTGACCTGAGGTCAACCTTTGACCTTGACCTTTCGAGGTCAACATATATATCATTCGATGCGGATTGACGAGAGGATCACGATGATGCCCTTAGTTTGTTCCTACCTTGACTAATTCGAAAGTTATTCGAGAAAAACTCTCTCCATATCTAGCGCCGCCATTTTGACTTTTTCGACCCCTGTGACGTCATCTTTGACCTGACCTGAAAATGAACTTTGTAAAAATTGTAGATCTTGGCCGTGCGTATCTGATGCCGTTTACCGCTTGTCGCTATCTTGCTTCGTTCTCGAGATCTCAGGGGGGGGCGGTCATCCGCCCCCCCCCCCCGTCGGTGCGAAGTTGGCGCAGACCCCCGTCGGTGCGCGGGTTAACCAGATAAAAGGGTATAAGCGAAAACCTTTTGACATAGTTAAGCGAATTTTGTTACAATTATATACCCCCGAAACTTCCCCCTAAATATGAACCTAGAGCAACCAAATTTGCACAGTGGCGAGATCTCCTATGGGGCCATCTTTTCTGTAAATTTAGCTTCTCTTAGTGCCATAGGAGCCAATCGCCAGGGGGGAGCGTACCAACCCCCGTCGCCGTCCGCGTCATGAAAAAGGCCCTCGCCAGCCGAAGGGGGAGCAGGCGGACTCCAAGTCCGTGACTTTGGCCAATTGACCTGACCTCAGAGGAACTTAGTCGGGTACCAATCGCTGCGTCTTGTAACGGCGCACACGCTCTTTTTTACGTGAGGCTCTAGCTCTATTAGGGGTGAAATGGCGAGGGGGGAGGTGTACCAACCAGCCTCCCCCCTTACTCCCCGGGTGGGGAGTAAGAAGAAAACCAATAGGTCCGGCAATGTTGAAGTAAACGCCATATTTTACGCTAATAATATCAGCTGCTCTTACAGAACATAAAAAATTATTTGGCCGACGAAGAGCTATTCGAAAGATTGAATCATTATGTAGGCATTACATTATCTAAGTGTACCCATTTATATTTGTGCGGAAGGTGACCATTTCAAACAACAATAATATAATATTCGTGTTATTAAAATGTGTTTTAGAACCTACATTTAACAGAACATTTTTTTTTTTGCATTTGCAACTTATTTACAGTGCTGAAACGGCAAAAATGATTAACGTAGGCACATACCTGTTTCATGTTTCAAAAATGCTAACTTATCGTAGAAAATGGCATTTGGCACGTCTACCCCTACCGTCTACAGGCCGTGACAGTCACGACAAACAGCATCAGACACGCGCTCATTGTCCCTGGTGTGCCTCCAGGTGCCGGCGCCACGCTGTTCAAGAGCGACCAGCTGTATCCGACCTTTAGGATTCTGGGCTCGCGCCAGTGTGTGCCTACCGACCTGGACAGCTCGTCCACGGCGCCGGCGGCGCCCAACTGCGCTCAGCTGGTCGTCCAAGAGTCCCAGCTGCCCATCAAGTGTCAGGGGGGAGTTGCTGTTCTCGCTCTCTTCTATAACTGCTACTCCAGCAGGCAAGCGTTTTCCTAGGTTTGCGCGTCAGGCTTTCGATTTGTCAGTTGTCACATTCTGTTTTATCATACGTCTTGTATTAGCTTTTTAAGTGCATTTGACAAAAAATGCCTTATGACATACTTTGTTGTCGTTGATTTTGCGCTTTTCAACTCATAGCTTCAGCAGGTTTACATAAGCAATATTTAATAAACGTCTCGTTCCACAGCATGGGCTGGTTCGACTCTGAGACCGCTGTGAATGGTCCTAAAGCACAAGACGACGGTCCGGGTCTCTTCCAAACGATTAAGAACCACCATCTAACGTTCAGCACTGAGCCAACGTGGGTGGCGGACAACGAGAAAATGATAGACGACTGTCAGTCGAACGTGCAGCAGGGTCTGACGCTGCGTCAGACGGCCGTCTACGCCTACACCTGCCTCAAGTGGTCGCTGTTTGCCGACTGTGACAGTCAGCAGGCGGAGGACGGTGAACTGGATGCAGAGGGACAGCAGAGACGGGCCGACTTCTTCTACAGCGACTGTCCCCTCAGCGCGCGGACTCTGCAGGAACTCCTGGAGGCCATCACCGGCCGCACTTTCATGGACTGCGGACTGGACAGCCCAGCGGGGTATGCTGCGACCATTGAGAACATGCGGTGCCTGCTGCACAACTTCCAGAACGGTGTTAATATGGACTACGACGCACTGAAGAGTGCCCTGAACAGTGCATTTACGGATACAAATGCCCAGGAACCAAAAGCTCTGCTGGACGAGGTGGTGGCGAAGTGTGAGAGCAACCGGAAGACGGAGGACTTTGTCAAGTGCTGGGCGGAGGCCGGCGTCCTCAACTGTGTCTATAAGGAGGCGAACGAGATCGCAGCGGCACACCCAGAGCTGTGCAAGCTAAGCGCCTAAAGAGCTGGCTGAGGCTACCGAAAGCTGCAAGCTGACCACCTGAGGAGCTGCTTTATCGACGGCCGACCGACAGGGACTGAACAACTGGACATTGAACAAGGACTGGACACCGAACAAGCGTTGATTGGGTGGTTTTGCATCAAAGCCTGGAATGATGATGATGCACCATTGCTGTTGGGTTGGGTCCGATCAAACATCAAGGAAAACTGTGGGTGTCCTGGCTTTTTTTTTTGCTGTCAGGCAGTTGTCCTAGAACTTTGGAGCTTTGTTTTGCGGCATTATTTATTTTCACGTTGTGTTTTTGCTTTTCTTTCGAATACATGCACTACGCATATTTGCGAGTTTGTTCCTTCGAATAGGACGTGAGAACGAAGGCCGAAGCGTCATGCCGCCTTGGTTTGTCATTGGTATTGTAAACATTTTCAATCGGTACCACTTATGCTTAACATACGAATCAATTTCACTGAAGCATTTAACCTCATTTTCGAAATAATAGGCACGAGTATATTGTAATCGAAACCGACTGGGCGTCCAAAATACGTTCAGATAGCTGATGGACACAGGACTTTATCGTGTATAACTTAATAGCTAGTTTCATATTAAGCAATTCTATATAATATAATTATATAATACAATTACTCAATTATCTACATGGCCGTATGCGTTCACACATTCCTTTATTCAGTATGAGGATGCACATTCGGAATTAGCTTCTTTTAAACAAAATATCGGCTTCTCATAAACTTAACTGATACGGCAATGCAATAAGCAACACCTGTTTTTACAGCTCATCATAATATTACACGAACAGCCGAGATAACGGCAATCAGAATAAATAGGTCACGGAAACACTGTCACCGTTGAAAGTGACCGCCCAATACCTGTCTTACGGCGGCGCCGATTTCATCTATTCGGTGGCTCTATCGTGTACTGGAAACTGAAAGGTGTCAAAACGCAACACGCCCGAAGCACAATCGTAACTTCTGGTTGGATCTCTTTACTTTTTGTCACTTTTATCAGGTCCTTAGGCTATCCGCGTTTTTGAAGCATTCATGTTTGTTTCTTTTGTAACACAGGCTACTCGTATGTGATGACATAGAAAACACACTTGTTTGATTTTGATCAGCCCTCAGTGCCTTAAGGTCACATTCTGGACGAGAGGATGCGGAGTGCGAACCACGAAGCCGGTGGTCGTTCTTCATGTTCGTGAGGCAAAAACGCTCTATAAACTGAGAAAATCCTACTGAGATAGCTCTTTTCTCACCAAGCTAAAGAGCAGCCGATAAACTTCATATAAAGAAGCGGCCGAAGAGACACATTTCATTTTAAACTGACAATTGGTAGATTTCAGTTCACATATGCCAGGATGGTTCGATGATAAAGCAATCGTTAAATAGTTACATTCTTTCAAAATAAAAAATATGAAAGCGAAAAACACGTTGATCACGGTAGAATCGATGCCCCTCCCTATAAACGTTTTGGTCTGTTCCGTCGTTACCTAGTTCTCACGCGAGCTTGGATTGGAAGTAAATTAACGTCACAGGCGAAGTTTGAAGGTCGAGGGCGACATGCTCCTTCGCCCATGGCATAAAGGGATGACTTGACAGATTTGCTCTGCACTAATATGAAGTGACCAAACCTTGATCGTTGCCGAGGTCACGCATGTTCGCAGTGAGCTCGAGGTAGTTATACATTGTTGTGTTATTAGTTTACACTTTCAGTTTCAGATGTAAAATGCGCGATCATGTGTACATACATACTTACCTGTGGCGTTCGTAATGCTTCATTTTGGGCATTTATTTGAACTGTTAGTGTGGCTAGATATATTGATATTGGACTGATTATATTCTGTGGTCGGGCCATCGAACTGCTAAAAGGCGTTGGAAAGCATTTCAGGAGCGATGTTTCCGGTGAATCTTACAGTGGTTAATTCACCCGCTGGTGAACACGCCTACACAGCTCAATACATAGCTATGTAGCTACATATAGCGTGCATATATAGCGTGCATAATATTGTGTTAGTCGATTAAGTGTTCATATATGAATATGTGTGAAATTGTATGCATGTGTGCGTCTGTTTGTGCTATGCCACCGTAATGCCCACTGTTCTGTGGTTGGATGTTTGACATAATAATAATAATAATAATAATAATATAGCTGCATAGTACGCTTAGTAAATTAACAATGAGCATTCATATAGGTAATCTCGGTTTCAACGTGAGTCCATTATCGAGCCATTCGGGGCATAAATAAATTATATCAAGGATGTGCAAGGTAGCTGAAAAAATATTCAACCCTCACGCAAATTCTAAAGTTTGATTTTAGACCACATCACAATAAACAAGCGACCTTGAATGACGTTCGACGCCACCTAATAACAAACCACACACCCCAATCTGACCGCCCCGAACCGATCGAGCCATGGGCGTTGCCTAACCCGCTAGTGCAGTGGCGCGTATGCTCTATTGACCCTGTGGACGCCATTGGGTAACATACATAGGTCAGATTCGAATTCGACCCTCGGCGTTATGTGCGGCAGTGCGGAGAAGTGACATGAGGCCACGGACTCACGACAGTTGCCTTTGGGCTATTCAGAAAATATCACGACACAAATCAAACATCAGGAGAAATAGTTTGGTAAATGTTTTGTCGCCTTCGTGATTCGCCTGGGGAAGCGTTTTGCAAGAGGGAACTTCAGGCCAGAGCGCATGGATATGTGTAGGAGGCTGTCGTGATACCTTCTTTGCTGTAATGCTGCTTAGAAACAAAAACGGAACTTTGCAGAAAGAGCCTGAATCGAGAAAAGTCACTATTCTTTACCCACCTTTACCCAAAACAACGTCTGCCCCACACACCGTGATTGTTCAAATACGCATACCCCTGCCAAAAAGCGGCAAGGGGCTCAGCAACAATATCGCGCAACATTCCAATGCTGATTTACAATCATGGGCTGGACTGCTGTAGTTCATGATGGGCAGCTTCGGAATTATTGAATGTCGACACTCCCGCTGGACGGATGTAATACTGAACCTGTCATCCTTGAGCCAAAACACAACCAGTCGACGCCTACAGGTCGCTCCAATGACGGAGCAATCGATGGTGTCTTCGTGAGATGCCTCTCCGGGTAACTGCATCATCTAGGCCTATTTGCTTAACATTATGGCACGTGTCGTACACGTGAATGTGTAAACATACTTCAAACACCAAGATGCTCAACCTCCCGCCAGTTGGCTCATTAGAAGATATCGAAAGAAACAAACGGTCCAATTAGTAGGCACATTTGACGTCCATTTAGTGCAGCGCTACTAAGTTACGCAGACTCACCTTAACTAATGCCATTGGAAACAGAGAGGATACACGCGCATCAGGTAAGTCATTTCTTCACTGTGGACTGTGGAGCCCGACTCATCCCAGCGTCGGGAATCGCCGGCTCGTCACACCACTGTGAAGCCCCGGCTCGACCCAGCCATGAGCGCCGTGGATCGCCGATTCCTCACAGCCACTCACCTGAAGTAAGAGCAATCCGCAGAGAGTGGCGCCGACCGGCGGCCGACACGGGAGCACCATCGTGTCACGTCGACCCTCACCGCCACCGCGCGCGCCACTGACCAGCGGCGGCGGCGGCGGTGGCCGCTCAGGACCTTGGCCGCAGACCCTGACACTGAGAGGTGATCTCAAACCGGCGCCCGCGGCGGTCCGAAGAGCACCCCAGTCGGCCCAGGTCGTCACCGACGAGAGAGACGCGCACCACCCCACCCAGCACCACTGCGGTGGCGGTGACTGGTGCTGGGCGGGATGGTGCTCGGTCGGTGCCCGGAGCTAGTGACGTAATCTCGGTGATGGGGTGGCTCGCTGGGAAGAGCAGACGGCCAGACACTGAGGGAGTGCCAAGAGCAGGTGGAGTGGGGTGGAAAAACAGCAGAGATGCTGTCCATGGGCGAGGAATAGTGGCCGTTCCCAAAGAAAATCTAGCAAAATCAAAGGCATATTTTTTTTAAAGAAATTTTGTCCGAATGGATGAATGGGTGGCTATGGGCCCGGGTGCCACGCTAAGCAGTGCTTGTTGCGAATGACACCACGGACCCACCACCCCGCCTTGCCCGCGCGGCGCGCCCGGTTCACCGGTGATAATTTGGACCGAAAGTTTAACGTGCCGCAGGTAGATGGCGGCACGGTCCTCCCGGGTCTAGCGTGGCCCTGTCTCGCCAGTTGCCAGCTGGCTTAACCCTCGCATGTGTAGGGGGGGGGGTCGGATGGACCCCCCCCATGGTTTTTCGCGAATAACTCGCGTAAAAAGCGGCCGATCGCGACGAAACTTTCAGTACCCTCGCATTGATCAATTTTACACCTACCCTGAAAATTTCATGACCCTGACCCAAATGACCTTTGACCTGTGACCTCTTTTCCGAGACCATGTTTGGCCGGAATCGCGATTTCGCGTATGTCGGCTCGCACTAGCCGCGTGTTTGCAAGCTTTTCGTGGTTTCAAACGTTCAAACATGTGATTTGATGTTACTCCCGTGTGTGTCAAGGTCACCTGAAGGTCAGGTCAGGTCATTGACCTTTGGTGACCTCGGGTGACCTCGGGTCACTTTTTCGAGTTTTACATGTTTCTAGGCTAGTTTTTGGAGCTGAATTCGAATTTAGCAACCATTTGAACATTTACGAAGTAGTTTTGGTGACTTCGTAACATGTTACGAAGCTGTCAGAGGCGGTTGACACGTACTACGAATACCCGTCACGACGCCTACTGGTTGACCTGACCTGACCTGACCCGACCTGGTCTAAATGCTTCAAGACATCATCTGTGATCAAAACTAACACGATATTCGTGATCAGCACCCCAAAAAACCCCTTAGCAGCCACACTTTACGACTTTCTAACAGGTCCCGATTTTCCCGACTTTGGGTCATTGACCTGACCTGGAAGGTCAACCAATGACCTAGGACCTTAAAATTGGGTATCATCGGCTTCCTCTCGTCACGTGCAACACGCTCGTTTTTTCCGCGAAGCTCTAGCTCGATCAGGGGCCAAACGGCAAGGGGGGGTCCAACCGACCCCCCCCCCCTACACATTAGAAGCTGGAAAACGCCGCACACATGCGAGGGTTAATATAGGAACGCGGGTCAAACGGCGTGAAGCTTCCCGGCCGCGAACTCGCTGCCACCGAGTTAGGAGACGGACGCCTTATCCACTAGGCCACGGGGAGGAGGAAATTCATTCGATAGATAATCTTATCACGTCCCTTTCCTTTTCTGATTTCTCTGTGGCATAAGGCTTAAGACAACGGTGAGAATTAAAAATGTTAAGAACTGCAGAGCAAGCTTA